CCCCGATCCCCTGGTGTCCCGATCCCCTGGTGTCCCGATCCCCTGGTACCCCGATCCCCTGGTACCCCGATCCCCTGGTGTCCCGATCCCCTGGTGTCCTGATCCCCTGGTGTCCCGATCCCCTGGTACCCCAATCCCCTGGTGCCCTGGTGTCCTGATCCCCTGGCAGCCCCTGATGCCCTGGTGGATCTGGTGGCCCCGGTGGCCCCTCATGGCCCCTGGTACAGGCTGGGAACCCGCCGGGAGGGGAGACAGCTGCTAGGCCGTGATAAACAAAAGCCCTTCTTTGGCCAAAGCCTGTGGGGTGCTGGCAGATGAGAAGCTAGCAGGAAGGCCACGCGTGACTCTGGGTGCCAGGAGGGGAGTTAGTGTGCCTTCTCCCTGGGGGGGGCACGCCCTGTAGGCCCCACCCAGATCTCAGGCTCACCCTGGAATGGCACAGGAATCCCAGGTAGACCACGGCAGCTGCGGGCAGCAGCACCAGCAGGAAGACTGTCCCAGGCAGCAGCAGGTGGAACAAGAGCACAACCAGGGCCCTCCCAGGCAGCAGCAAAGTCCCGAGGCCTGGGGCGGCCAGGCCGGGCCTCCTTGGGCCTGTGGGGGCAGAGGCCTGGCGGGTAGACAGCCTCCCAGGCAGCATGGGTGCTGTGTCGGAGCTGCCCCCTTCCTCATCCTCTTCTGCCTCCCTCTCTCGCTCGCTCATGCTGTCCTGGTAGCCGGCCTGCGGGGCTTGCAGTGGTAGTCAGGCAGCAGAACCCAAGGCTGGACTATAAAGATCCTTCACCCCTTCCAGGTTCAACTCTGCCAGGGTCCCAGCCACTGGATGGTTGGCCTTGGCCTCCTGAGGTCCAAGCTGACGGTCAGCCCTGAGGGCAAAGCCCTGCTTCAGTCTCCCCCACTACTGTGCCTGTGGCCCGTCTGGAGTGCACTGGCAGAGCCTCGCTGAGCTGTCCCCAGCCCTGCCAGGCACTGGGGCCCTCCTCCTCTCTGGCCCACCCTCTCCTTGTTTCCAGCTCTCTAATACAATGACTTCATCTGACAGACTTTGACAACTGCTCTATTTGTAGCTGCCATCTAGAAGGCATGCCCTGCAAGTCCCCTGGTCTGAAAACCCAGGCCCTCCTCAGCCCCTCTGAAACAGGAAGACACCAGGGTCCCACAGATGACAGACAGGGGAGGTGCGAGACCTGGCGCTCAATAGGTGTTCAGTAAACAGCAACTAAAACTACAGGTGTCCTTTCTGCCTAAATCTACTCCATCCTGAAGTTGGACATAGGTTTTTTTTCAGTTGATGGGAGCATGTATTCTGTTATTACAAATGAGAGGAAAAGTGTGTTTCTTCTAGTCCATCTGAAAACCCATTTTTTTTTTTTTTGTCGGTTGTGGGACTTGAACTCTGGGCTTGGGCGCTGTCCTTGCGCTCTTCAGCTCAAGGTGAGTACTCTACTGCTTGAGCCACAGCGCCACTTCCGGTTTTCTAGTGGTTTATTGAAGATAAGAATTTCACAGACTTTCCTACCTGGGCTGGCTTTGAGCCTCGATCCTCAGATCTCAGCCTCCTAAGTAGGTAGGATTACAGGCATGAGCCATTGGCACCCCTCTTTTTTTTTAAATAAGTTTTTTAAGGTGAAAATACTGTACAGAGGGATCTTTTCTTTTCTTTTTTTCCCCTCTTTTCTTTTTTTTTCTTCTTTTGTCAGTCCTGGGGCTTGAACTCAGGGCCTGGGCACTGTCCCTGGGCTTCTTTTGCTAAGGCTAGCACCACTTCCAGCTTTTTCTGGATATGTGGTACTGAGGAATTGAACTCTGGGCTTTATGCTTGCTAGGCAAGCACTCTACCACTGAGTCACCTTCCCAGCCACGCTCCCCATTTTTCCTTTAATAGTATTAAAATAACACTGAGCACTCTTGCACAGCATACATCATTGTAACCTCCATATACATAACTAATTGATGCTAAACAAGTAGATTGTGTGTAAGCTGATGGTTTCCGGTGACATCTTTTCCTGTATCATTTCTTTTTTTTTTTTTGGTCCAGTCGTGGGGCCTGCACTCTGGGCCTGGGCGCTGTCCCTCAGTGTGGAGCACATGGGCAGCAAAGATGGCGCTGGGAGGGGGGTTGAGTGGGCAGAGCCCAATTGATCTGCCCATCGGTGCCTAACCAGCCCGTGAAGGCTCAGGTGAATGATAGGGTGTGACCTTGACAGTGATTGGTTCCTCTTCCTCCCTTACCATACTACCCACCCTTTGTGTCTTTAAAAAGGGGCTGCTCTCTGTTAATAAAAGAGTTTTCTACCTGCTGGATTTGGCTCCCTGCTGTGTCTGATTGTCTCCTGGGCTGAGGGAGGCTAGGGAACGGGGGAGCACCGCACTTACCTTTCCTCGGACCCCGTCCGTCTTTTGTGGGACGGACGAAGACCCGACACCTCAGCTCTTCAGCTCAAGGCTAGCGCTCTACCACTTGAGCCACAGCGCCACTTCCGGCTTTTTTCTTTTTGCTTATGTGGTGCTGAGGAATGGAATCGAACCCAGGGCCTCAGGCATGCAAGGCATGCACTCTACCACTGAGCCACCTTCCCAGCCCTAGAGTATGAATCTTGAGCAAAGACAGTATCCACGCTCTGAGTTCAGCCCCAGTACTGGCACAAAAATAAAAGACCAAGATACTGAATCAAAACCAGGGACCAAAAATTGAAAACTTGGAGCAGAAAGCTCTCTTCTTTTAACAGATACTTAAAAATACTATTTTTTCCCCTGAGAAATGGACCCACAAATTATTTAAAAGCAGGATAAAAGCCAGACACCCATCAGGAAGAAGAAAATGTGTAATCCTTTACTATTTGTCCCTATTATATACTGTGTTACTAAATTAAATCATTAGTAGGGACTGGGAATGTGGCTCAGTGGTACAGTGCTTGCCTAGCATGCACGAAGCCTTGGGTTTGATTCCTCAGTACCACATACACAGAAAAAGCTGGAAGTGGCACTGTGGCTCAAATGGTAGAGTGCTAGCATTGAGCAAAAGAAGTTCAGGGACAGCGCCCAGGCCCTGAGTTCAAGCCTCAGGAGTGGCAAAAACATTTTGTGAGGCTCTTTTTTATGTGAGACCCCTTGAAATGCTTTTCTTTTTCTATTTTTTTTTTGTCTGTCCTGGGGCTTGAACTTGGGGCGTGGGCATTGTCCCTGAGCTTTTTTGCTCAAACTAGTGCTCTACCACTTTGAGCCACAGCTCCGCTTGTGGTTTACTGGTGGTATTTCTGGAATTGAAGATAGAAGTCTCATATGGGGCTGGGAATGTGGCTTAGTGGTAGAATACTTGCCTGGCATGCAAGAAGCCCTGGGTTTGATTCCTCAATAACATGTTCACAGAAAAATATGGAAGTGGTGCTGTGACTCAAATAATAAGAGAGCTAGCTTTGAGCAAAAGAAGCTCAGGGACAGAGCCCAGGCCTTAAGTTCAAGTCCCAGCACTGGAACAACAAAAAAAGTCTCATGGAGCCGGGTGCTGGTGGCTCACGCCTGTAATCCTAGCTACTCAGGAGGCTGAGATCTGAGGATCTCGGTTCAAAGCCAGCCCAGGCAGGAGAGACTGTGAGA